ATGTTTTGATCCCTTTGGAGATTTCCAAAACCATTTTCAATTATTTGGCGATGCACTCTTACAAATACTGAGCGAGTTGGATGTCGTCTGTTTGGAAATCTTCGTGCGTATTCTCTGGCTGCTTCTGCTGCGTTTCCATTTACAGAGCCATACAAAAAATGAATATCCGCTAACTCTTGATTGGAGAATAAAAATGGCATTTTTATAAAACTTACAAAAAAAGAACAGGTAAAAGAAACTAAATTTCGTGCATTCACAATTGCAAAAAAACGTGTCCGGTTTCAACAGACAGCAAAACTAACTGTCAACTAATTGACGTTTAACCTTATTCTGCTTTGAATTTCAAAAATATTTGCAGGCACAGCCTACTTCTAAAGATTATCGAGATACTGACTTTTTAACGTTATTTTATCATAAATAATTAAAAATGCATCGAACCTTAAAAATCGAAATATCTCAAAAACGGCTAACTATAACGAAAATTCACAAGAGAGCTTTTTTATGTTGAAAAGTGCGAAGAATCAGTTTTTTGTTCAAAAAGCAAAAAATTGCACTAAGAAAATTTTTTCGGTCATTTCAATCGGAGCGATTTTTATATATTGTGCGACGCGTAACTTTCACGAGACCGAAAGGATTTTTAACGATCGTTTCCCGAATCGTCCTATCTGTAGAACATATTTAAGGGAACTTGCATTTGAATTTACAGCTACTGGTAGAGTAACAAACAAAAAGCCCCAAGGTCATCAGACCATCCCGGAAGAAAAGCAAGTTCAGATAATAGTAAATCCCCAACAGTCTACTTCCTCCAACGCGAATGTATATGAAGTTTGTCCTTCTACTGTATGGAGACTTTCGAAATTGAAATTTGTGCATAAACATAAATCGAACCTGTTCAATATCAAAGAAGAACACAATTATGAATCTTGATCTTAAGATTTGCTGACGCATTCTCACAGATAAGCGTTTTTATAGCTTTATAGCTGTTGTATTGTTTTTTCAAGTGTATGTGCTTTTGTACCATCGTTTTCTTTTGACCTTTATGTTGTTATAGTCTGTGGCTATTTAACAATGAAATAAATGCATTATTATCATTATCATCGTTATTATTAATAATATTAGTAACATTATTATTGAGGTCTCCGGTTTCTAATATCCTTGGATTATAACTGTGCCTCCATCCCAACAATGGTGTTATCAACACGTCTAGCTGCTCTTTTCATATTAAGTTTCGCCCTTTCTTGTGCCCTTAATAACTGTCAGCGACATGCGAATGGATTTTTCCATTGTAGTCTCATTTCTGAAGCTCGGTTCCATTACGATCTGATCGTATTTAAAGCGGGCGTGTACGAGATGACAGAAGAGAGTGATAACGTCAAGTGCCACGCAATTATGCAGCCTGTTTTTGACTTATTCAAAATCGCGGCGTCGGAATGCTGGATATAAGAATATAAGGCCATGCTTTGCTTGTCTTGTAGGCGGAAAAATACGTTAATTTTTTTTTATATATAACTCCGGAGAGCGCGTTTGGGCAATAAGAATGTTTTTAGGGCTAGTCCAAGAAAGCCATGACGAGTATCGCTTCAGTAAGTCTCTAATAATTAATATACAGGGTGTAAACGTTATGGTAGTCATTATTGAAATGGGTAAATGGGGGGGGGTCAAACCAAGTCAAAAAGTTCATATGACCCATGGTCCAAAAGTCAATAGATTTTTGACTAAATGGCTTTATAGTTTACAACTTTAAGTGCTTTATATTGACCACAATCACCACAATCTTATTAATTTTTATAATCTAATCTAAAACCTTTTTAAATTGGGTAACTAACAAACAACTGGAATTAAGTTTTTCTAAGTTAAGCCAAAATTTGTAGTCAGTATGTAAGTTTCATTAAATTAAATATTTAAAACACACATGACAACAGCGCGTCGGTCTTTCATCACTCTTATCGAACCGGCAATCGATCGCAAACGGTGACGGTAACATTCGTGATGGTCATTTCCAACAAAGTTTTAAAATAAATATTTGGGCGGGTATTCTTGACGATCAGGTAATTGGCCCTTTCGAGTTATCCCCAAAGTTGTCAGGAGAAGGATAGCTTAGCTTTCTAGCCAATAACCTACCAGAACTTTTGGAACATACCTTAGACAACATGCCATTACAACGGAGACAGAATTTGTGGTTTCTTCATGACGGGGGACGGGGGGACGGGGGGACACATTTTTAGAGGCGTCATTCAGTATTTGAATGAGCGTTATCCAAATCGCTGGATCGGTCGACACGCTCCTGATCCTCGAAAATGGCCAGCAAGATCTCCTGTCCTCAATCCGATGGATTTCTGGTATTGTGGAGAACTTGAAGGGATGGTTTATGGGGCTTGTCCAATAACAACTGAAGCACAACTTCGCGAAAAAAATGTTAATGCTACTGAAATAATAAATGGACAACTTCGAGGACCTAGAGTAAGAAGAAACTGGGTTCGTCATAATGAAGCTTGTGTGGAAAGTGGAGGACGACATTTTGAACACCTTCTTTACATACAAAAGAAGTGCAGTGTGGGTTTTAAAAAGAAAAACAATGTATGTATCAAAATTGTGTTCCCTATTTATAAGTGGATTTTTTTAATACGTTCAATAAACTTTCACACACCAGGTGAAGCGCTGAGACAGTTAGTGGTAAGTCCGTGTTTTTTTAATTGTTTGGATTTTACGAGTACATTATCAAATAATGAAATAATACCTAAGAACCAAAAATAACAAACTTCATCTTTATTTACACTGCGTTCCGTCGTAATTTGCGCCTGGCATTGCGGCGTTGTCAGATTTTATTTGATTTAAAGTCGCTTTTCGCTAAAATAATGCCGTTTTGACCCCCATGTTATATGAAACTTTTTGCTTCTTTAACCTCCTCTATCACGCATTTAAATAATGACTATCATAACGTTTACACCCTGTATTGTTTGTCGACGATCATTCTCTGAATATTCTGGAACGGCTGACAGATGGTGATATTCCTATTGCATGCTGTGCCCCATAACTGGATGCAAATACGTCCAAATTGTAGAGTAACGGCTTGTTGTCCAATGATCCAAAGCATAATGCCTGTTTGTTTCCTTTCAGAAAAAACGTGCATTTGTCGTGAAAGTCTTCGGTCTAAATGGATTTCCAGATATTAATGATGATGATGTTAATGATAGTTACTGGTGGACATGTACGGTGAATGCCACAGCTGAACCTTCTTCAACCTTTTGCGTCGTTTCTCTAGCCATGCCTCAATTTGGAGCAAGAGATTTTGCCATGCTTTGCCTAGATTCTCATGGTGTGCCAAAATATCCGCAACATTTGCAAACGTTGTCACACGAACAGCACCTGCAGCTGGCCGCAGTGTACAAAGATAGAGGGTAAAACACATCCTTGTGACACTCTTGAACCGCTAAGCATAATGAATGTGGATTCAATGCCATACTTCACGTAGAAGTGCCGATTCGTCAGCTATGATTTCAGAAGTAAGTAATGAGGATGAGAGAGAGAAACTGTTTTAATTTGAAAGTCGATGTGCCAAAGCCAAATACCTGAGATACATCGAGAAAGTCAGCATCTTTTGTTACAAAAATCTGCATCAATTCTAACCAAAATCCTGTGGATTCACTCAATGTCCTAACAAATTGTTGACATCGGAGCAATTATATCAACTCCCTTTCTTGACGGAAACAGTGTGTGAGGTCTTGTTGCGGTTTTCGGTAAAAAGTAGTGTTAACACGGTGATCCACGGGAAGATTCCATTCTTTTAACCTTGACGCTAAAAGTTGTGACTGGGATTTTGACAGATTTCATTAAGTCATTAATTTCGCCCTATGTGATCAAATGCGGCGCTGTTGAACATCCTGGTAGGTGAAATGAAGAAAGTTCATCACTATGCTTAATGGGTCGCAAAGCTCAAGGTAAATTAAAATACTTAACAGTATGTGCTTCGATTTTGGTCCAATACCTTTAATATTTGTGAGGCAAAAATAGCAATCAGTAGTATGGTCTCTCGGATCTCTCCAAACCGTTGATACCGCAAAGGGCATTTTACGATTGCCGCCTCTTAACCATTTCGTTAACAACGTTACACAAGTCTTACAACATATATGAGAGGCCCATAGTTTATCTTGGTCGCCATCATTAATACCAAAATAAAGTCCGTATGGTTTCAACACAAGGGGAGTAAAAGTACGTTTTTGGGATTTAAAAGTTAGCTCTCGGCTTACATAACAAAAACTGCTCACACTATTTACACAATTTCTAGGCATTGTGCATAAAGCTAGTCTCTATCACAATTAATTAAAAACAATACACCGTTTTAACAAGCATCAACAGTACTCAGAACATCCCAGTATGTTATTCTTCAACACACAAAACGTAACTGACTCGGCTGCTATTAGTCTACTAATAAAGTAAGCAATATGCTCTGTAAACATAGAGCTCGCATATAATGAACAGGAATAGACAGGTCTTAACATTATATATGTGCGTCATCGCATAAACGCCGAGAGATGCAGCAATATGAGATGTTACGTATTGTAATTCATAAAAGTAGACGTTACCGAATATCTGTGGATGATAGAAAAATTCTGTTTTTAGATTTGATTTAAGGTCAGGGGCCCTTAAGTTCTGCAGAGCTGCAGAACTGCCAAAACTTTTGTCTTAACAGAAAAAAGCAGTAGTAATTCGATCATTATTTATTTTCCATGTTATCATACAAATAGAAACAATACCGGCCTGCCCCCGCAAGACACGGCGTCGAGTCTGTTTTGCAGCATTATAATCGACCAATTGTGTACTTGTCATTTTCGTCGCGACCGCAGCGAAACATGGTCTGTGCACTACTTCGATACAAGCCGCACGCGTTTGCTTTTGTCTCCCTACAAAATCAAATGCGCCATTTAGGCATAAGCATGTGCTGCAATTTATGCAGATCTAATGCGAAATACGATATCGATTGTATAAAATTTTGCGGAGCATTTGAATTGGCGCTACTGGGCCACGACGAAACCGAGAGCTCAAAAAACCTGGGAATATTTCGTGGACTGATTAATTTTTCTGCTGAGCTTGATACAACCTTAAGCGAACACATAAAAAATGCTTCAATATTTAAAGGACTTCCAAAGAAATACAAAACGATCTACTGGATTGTATTCTTGAAGTTTGTCATGAAGAGATAATAAAACAGATTAACAGAGCCTAATAGCAGATGAAACAACGGACGTTTCGGAGAAAACCCAACTGGTAACAATTTTCAGATACGTATTTAACGGCGAACCAGTAGAACGTTTTTGGAATTATATGAATCCCGAACAATGTGACGCTGATACTCTCACAAGACATATTTTGAGCGTCGTAGATCCATTAATAGGAAATTTCCCTAACAAACTGATTTCAAAAAGCTATGATGGAGCCGCGGTAATGAGCGGACATAATGTTGGAGTACAGGCAAACATTAAACAAAGATATCCATTTGCTCACTATGTGCATTGCTATGCGCATCAGTTAAACCTGATTATATTATATACAGGGTGACTTTGAAGTTGAGTCATTAATTTTCAGATAATGATTGTAGAAGGAAGATAAACCAAAATATGTGTGTAAAAATAAAAAAAAATAAAAAAAAAGTTTACCTTGTTTTATAAAGTATCTTCCCGACAAGTATTTCAGTGCGGACCTGTATTTGATCGTGAGGTCCCCTGTGAGGTCTTAAGTCACCTGATTCACGAGCCCGTTGTACTACATTAACAAAGGCACGAGGGGTTGGTTGCACTCGATTGGGAAACCGAGCCGCATAAACATGTGCCATTTTTTATTTCGTTTGAGCCACGCAACAGACACTATTCACACGCGACTGACAGTGACTGTATGTATAACTGAACTGAATGAAATAACTGTAAAAAACTCGTTCCAAATTCTTTCGCTTTTTTGTTTCCGATGCGATGAACCGATAAGGTGGATTATATCCGTTGTTGCCAAACACAAGCACATGATATTGTTATTGAGACAGGGCGGTACTCAAACTTTCAAAGGGCTATAACTTTGTTACTTTAATTTTACCAGAAAAATGGTAAAGGAAAAAAACATTTCTTTTGATCAGATCTACACACTGTTAAAATAAATGACTCAACTTCGAAGTCACCCTGTATATATTTGAAAGATATTCCGGGATTTTTTAATAATTCTCCTCAACGCGTAGAGGTACTGAACAGAATTGTGGGTAAAAATTCCACAAGGAGCAACAACTCGTTGGAATTTTAATATTCGAAAATAAATGTAGTGTTTGAGAATAGAGAATCACTCATTGAATGCGTGGAAGAAATAGAAGAAAATTTCACTAATGAAACCGTTTGCAAGGCAGCTTGCGGTATTCGCCGTATGTTAAACGATTCTGTTTTCGTGTTTTGGTTGACATTTTTTCATCATGTCATGCTTAACGTCGACATCTTGTTCAACCAGTTGCCGAAGATAAAAACCGAGCCAGCGCAAGTTAAAACGGCTATTGATAATTTTGAAAAATGTATTGTCGATGTGAGAAATAAAATTGATGACAATAAATGAAGCCAAAAGTATTTGCACTGAACCCCAAGGCAACAAAAGGAGACGACGTAACAAAAGCAGTCACGATCACCGAGTTGCCGCATTAGAAGTATGCGACAATATAGTGAATTCTGCAAATGACAGATTTCAATTCAAAGATGATTTGGTAGTTGCATCCCTTTTTTTCCCAAACACTATGGTAAGTTTCCTGATGACAAGTTGGAAACTACCTGCTTGGCTTATCCCGAATTAGAAAAAAGTCGTTTAAAGACAGAGTTGTCTGTTATTTATGCACGGAATGATTGCCGAGATTTACATGGAAGTCTGTCTCTTTTGAAAGTTTTGATACGAAATAGTTTATAGGAAACACTAAAAGAAACAAAAACGCTATTAGAAATTATTGTTACAACTCCTATGTCAACATCAGAGGCTGAGCGAAATTTCTCAACATTGAAAAGAATTAGGGTGAATCGAGGTTATATGGCCATAGAGGAGAGATGGCCCAACTCGATATTTTCCTAAATAGTTATTAGAGGGCGTTTTTCTCAATAAGGCGTATGTACTGTTGTGTGATCGTGCTGTACTAGAAACTCTGAGTCAATTAACTAAGTTTAAAGGTAAGTTATTTTAAAATTACTGTTTACATGGGTTCAGTAGTTTTTGAATACAATTTTCCACTAGCCAAGTTTCATAAAATTTTATTAGTTTTTAACAATCCGTCTGGTGTTTATTTTACCATGTGTGGTGTATTTTATGTTGCTTAAGCGTTTTACGCGAATTAACGTATATAAAATCTAAATCATGCTATGGCCATCTTTCCTCGAAAAAAAGGAGAGATGGCCCACTTATTTCCTATGTATGATGGCCATCGTAGATGATTTGTATTTATTTTAGATGCCAAATATTTATAAAAGAAAATCATTGGAGAGTGCCAAATGGAGCAACTGAAATCTGCAATGAGTACTGTTAAAGATGAGGGATTATCTGTACGTCAGGCTGGAAAAACTTACGCTATTCCGAGAAAGACATTGGAAAGGCGAAAGAATGCAGACCATAAGAAAAAATTGGGTCCAGATACTACTTTCGGAGCTGCACATGAAAACAGACTGGTTCGGCATATTAAAGAAATGCAAAAAGTGGATCTCCACTTACTAGAGATGATTTGCGAACCATAGCTTATAAATTTGCTGTTCAGCTGGGCTTAAAACATAAATTTAATAATCGGTTTCAGAAAGCTGGTTAAGTTTGGCTGCATTCATTTCTCACCAGAGATCCACAAATATCAGTTAGAAAAGCAGTAAGTTTGTCGTTGGCGAGATGCACAGCAATGTCTAGAAAGGTAGTAGTTGATAACTTTAAAGTACTGCCGAGTGTTCTGGAAGAAAACAATATCTTGATAAACCAGAAAAATATTTTTAATATGGACGAGGGTGGATTGCAACTAAATACAAGACCGGGGGAAGTTTTGGCAGTAAAAGGATCAAAAGTAGTTTCGTCAGTTGCTTGAGCAGGAAAGGCCGAGACTGTAACAGTTGTTGCCTGCTGTAACGCCGAGGGCACTTTTCTTCCTCCTGTCGCTATTATGAAAGGAAAAAATTTAAGTTAGTTAGTTTTTTAATGTAAGTTACTTTTTTCGCAAAAGGATTGGCTATTGAGTTTTTAGTTTTTTTTCTGTTATATGTAATAATAAAGTCTCATAGGTATTTCACGAGTATTCTTATAAAACTCATTATTTTCTTTGAATTTTATATGGCCATCTTACCTTCTATGATATGGCCATCTCTACTAAACACTATAGGAGAGATGGCCCACATATAAAAAATACCGATTTTTATCAACAAAACGAAAAACCATATTTATAATAAATTTGCACAGAGCAACAAATAATAATTACCATGCCCTACCCTAAAATATTATATTTTTTGTTAAAACCCAATCATTAAAAGTATTACAGACGATTAAAAAAAATATGACCATCTTTCCTCGGTTTACCCTAAGTCTTTTCTTCGTAATAATTTGCAGAACACCTGTTTTATTTTGCCACGAGCCGCCACTGTTTAATTAAGGGTCTCAAAATACATAAGATACAACCAAAAATTGTCATGTCACAAATCCTGTGTTTATCAGTGATACCGAATTGCGGTCAGCTAAGAAATAAAAGACAATGAGAATATTCACCATTGTGAGCATTATGGTTCACCTGTAAGCGACAAGCCCAACCTTGCACGTGTCAGTTGTGTAATGGCGCCCGTGGTAGCATCGACGCGTCGTTAATTCTCGATTTCTCAGTAATTTCTCATCGACGCGGCGGTCGTGGAGTTTCCAGGTTTCTTTTTGTGGGAAAATTAGCTTAAGAGGGAGCCCAAAGAATATTAATGAAGTTGTTTCGCGATTTGCATGTTTCTTATTAATGCCGACACAGCCGAGCTCCATCAACTTCCACCCCATTAACTTTAGCTAAACTTTGATTATTTTCCGAATGGTTAGTTAATTACAAATTTAGATTCTCGGGATCGCGGGAAAGAGGGAAATTCGTTCCGTCTTCGGTTTGTATGACCTGCCGCGTTTTCTTTATGATATTTTATTACTGCACTAATTACTGCGATCCAGTAGCGTCGGAAGATCTGCGCAGGTATACTCGGGGGTAGATCAGGGTTAGTTAAAAATTACAGAGTCAAGGAACGGTGAATCTGTCGCTGGAAGTGAACAGATAATAATAATAATAATAATAATAATAATAATAATAAATCGTCTTTATTAAGAGGGCGAAGTTTAGCATAATGCTACTCTGCCACTTAACCCCAAAAAAAAAGAAAACTGAAAAAACAATACAAAAAACATAAATACGGATATGTTAGAAGATTACAAATGTAGGTGTATAAAAAATATGGTATATAACACATATAAGTGAAGGCTATTCAATATTTCATGATTTAAAAGTGTAAAATTGTAACAGTCATACAAAACAAAGGAATGCTATATTGGAAATATTTTTGTGTGGGGTGACAGATAAATTTTATCAACTAATTTATATACTTCTATTCAAAATAAATTTCTTCATATGTCTTTTAAATTCATCATATGATAGCAATTTTGTGGATCGAGGTAGAGCATTGTAAATAATAATTGCGTTGTAGGTGAAGCATTTACGAAAGAATGATGTCCTGTGGAGGGGCATTGTGAGTTTTTTCAGTGAATCGAATGTCCCTAGAATGGATATTGCTTCTAGATACCAGCTTATTTCTCAAAAACGGCGGAATGGATGACAGCAAAAGCCTGTGGGTGTAAATAACTAGGTGTAGCTCACGCAGTTCATTTACTCTCAACCACTTCATGTCATTGAAAAAAGGGCTGATATGATCATATTTTTTCAAATTATTGATCAACCTACAACATGAGTTTTGGATTTTTTGGAGACGTACTAGAGATATTGAGTCAAGAAATGGAAGATAAGCTAAATCGCAATAACTAATTTTCGACATTACCAAAGATTCACACAAAATTTTTTTAGTTGTAAAGGCAAGAAATTGTTTATTAAAATATAATTGACGTAAAATTGAAAATCAACTCTTACTGATATTATTTAAATGTGGTATAAAATTTAGACATTCATCTAAAGTTACGCCCAAGTTTTTCACTGACTCACTTCTATAGTCTCACCATTTAATTTTACTTTAAAATTTCTTTTGGCATCACTTCTAAATAGTTTTGGTGAAAAAATGATGATTTTCGATTTTAAAGGGTTCAACTGAAGGTTATGATTTTTTGCATACATACTAATAAACTCTGGGCGCTGAAGAAAGACATTAAACGTAAACAGTGATCAGCACGTGAACAGATCCCTCGAAAGCATCCACGGATATACTCCAGTCACTTTAGGTCTAAACATCCTCGGCAGTGTATTTCTAGTGAATCCACAGACCCTTTTTCGTGTCATCTTGAGACTAGAAAAAGGATGACTGTTAAAATAAGTTACCTTGATCTTTCATGAGCTCCCAGTACAAAACATCATCGATATATTTTTGATGTAGGAACAACAAATTGGTTTAGAAAACATCCACTTTGAACCTAAATTGACTGGAGTAACATCGATCTACAGACAAATTCAAGGTCACTAGCAGTCGTCGGCGCTCTACGAATCTGCACAGGTTTGGACTTGTAAACGTGATTGTAGATGACACGACAGGCATCTAACAGTTAATTCACGCACAGGATTGCATTGCATACGCATTACGCATTCAGTAGCGTATACTCGTTTTTCGCGAGTGGAACGTTTTGTTTATATATTGCCTAAGATACGATGTCTGACACAGATACAGCCGACGAAGTGGTTGACATCAGCGCAACCCCACCCAAAAAAAGGGCTAAGAAGTTACATTTAAGTGCAAATGAAAAACAAATAATATTAAATATATACAAAAACCAAATTCAAGAAAAACCCGATTTGGTCGTGGACGAAGTTATATGTAAGGTAGCACATATTTCTGGAGTATGTCGGTCCAGTGTTTATAGGATCATTAAGGAATATAGGAGCACTCACTCACTTTCTGAGCCAAAACCGTATCCTGCAAGAAAAAGGATAACGGACGGAGTAGATGACTTTGACAGAACTGCCATCAGGAGGAAAGTGCATAATTTTTTCTTCCGAAATGAGATACCTACAGTAGATAAGATATTAAGATTAGTTAATGCTGATGAGGATCTTCCATCATTTAAAAGAACCACATTCCGAAAACTTTTGAAGGAACTTAATTTTCGATTCTTGAAACGGGGAAGAAACAGTATGTTAATAGAGAAAGAAGAAATTGTTGTGTGGAGAAGGGAATACCTTAGGAAGATTCGGAAGTTTCGCGATGAAAAAAGAAAAATTTACTATTTGGACGAAACGTGGGTGAATGCTGGACATACTCAAGCGAAAGTTTGGGTCGACAAATCAGTAACATCATCAAGGCAGGCTTTTCT